GGTCTATCTGATGATACCCATGGCTATGTTTTTGCAAAGGCCACTGTTTCTCAACCCTTGGTTTTTTTTCATTCTCTCTCCCTCCAAAATTAATTAAATTCTTCCTGATGTGAAAAATTAAATATTAAGGAATAAGATTTTGTCAGGTAGGGTTGAACTTTGAAGGCCACACACCATTGTTATTTCTAAGATTTTTCTCACCCATTAAGAATCTCTTTTCACCCAGAATAAAAGCCAAAATTTGTCACCCCATTGGGAATCTCACTCTGTTGAGAGTGGGTGTAATAGGCTTATGATGGAGGTCATAATCTGCAAATCTGAGGCTCAGATCTGACCCTTAATTTTATTGACCTGAGAGAAGTATTTTTAAAAGACACATTTATGTCAGTAGAAATCTAGCACCCATTTCATGGTCTGCATCCAAAGGTCTATTCAGCAGCTTCTCTTATAATACCATAGCATCTAGCACTTTCTTCATCAAAGCACTTGTCCTACTCTAAAACACATCTCCAGTTTAACATTTTACATTGAACTTCTGATTCTTTTCCCCTTGCCCCTCAAAGCTCAGCTCCCCTGTTTTCCCAATTCTTAAAATACAAACCTAGGTATCTTCCTTGATTTTACTCTCTAACACCCCTCTATCTAATCATTCAGCATATCTTTGTGCTCTTGTTTCAAAATGTATCTGGACCCAACCACATCTCACCATTACCACCCTAGTCCAAGCCACCATCCTCTCTCTTGGAGCACTGCGCTGGCCTCCTGACTGGTCTCCCTATTTCCTCGGTGGTCACCCAACAAATGATTCTCCACACAGCAGCCAGAGTGATTCTTATAAAATGTAATTCAGATCATGTCACTCCCCTGCTGTCAACCCTTCAGCGGCTTTCTACCACACTAAGGATAAAACCCAAACTCTGTCATGGCCTTCCAGGCCCAACAGGAGCTGGCCCCTGCCATCCTCTCCTACCTCATCTCTACCACTCTTCATCACTGTCCTCCAGCCACACGGTAGGTTCTCACCATAGTTTGAACCTACCAGGCTCAGGACCTTTCACCTCAGGTACTTGCCACAGGTTTTCCCATTTTCCACCTCCACCAACCCCATCATTTAAATTCTACGTTCTGGCCACACGGAATCACTGGCAGTTCCTCAAATGTGACTCTCACCTCTATACCTCTGCATGTGCTATTTTCTGTTTTGAATACTCTTCTCCACTCTTGCCTCCACCCCATTTTTTTAGGGAAGAGCTAAGCCTAAACATCACTCCTTCCAGGTAGCCTTTCCAGACAGACACCTCAATACCAGAGCACCTAGTACTTTCTTCATCAAAGCAGTTGCCCTACTCTGCTGTAATTGCCTCTAAGTAAGCATAAAGACAGAAGCTATCATTCAACTGAGCATGTCTAGCATCTTTCATAGCACATTTGAAAAATAATTGTTGAATAAATAAGTGAACCTCAAATAGGGATATTAGCAATTGAATATAATTTCCACAAGTATACACTTTTAGCTATGTATTTTATCTTCTTTTTCTATGCTGTTTCTCTCCTCATTCTTCATTTCCCCCTATGAAGCCTTCTAGCTGGGTCATGCCTTCTGAAGTCTGTTACCCTGGTTTTACACTGAATAGATGCCCTTTAAGAACCTGAGCCATATATGACCTCAAGAATCATGAACTACCCCTAGAACTCAAAGCCTCAGAAAGTGCTGGTCCCATTAGACAGCCCAGTCACACACCAGCTGCACACTTCTTTTATTTTAAGAGCATAGGGACACTTGGACATGTGTCAGGGACAATAAATACAAATGAATGAGTTCTTAGGGGATAGCTCAATGAATTTGGTATAAAAAAATAAAACAAATCTATCACCTAATTTGATAAAAATTCTTTTCAATCGNTGAGTTCTTAGGGGATAGCTCAATGAATTTGGTATAAAAAAATAAAACAACAAATCTATCACCTAATTTGATAAAAATTCTTTTCAATCAGGGTAAAGTGGAATATATTCAGATTACCAGTTCAGTGAGTTAGTTTATCTGCATTGTTGACCATTCACTGTCTGGAGACAGAACAGAGAAAGTGATTTCAGTCAAGATGAGTATGGTATCTGTCATAACACTCTGTGTTGCCAGAACTACTTACTGGCTCATTTCTCTTCATAGAATGTCTCCAGAGCAGTCACCAAGGATTCAAATTAAAGTCTAAAGTTGGGGTGTCTTAGAGTTTGACATTTGATTGACTTTCATGCTATGTTTCAGAGACAGAAAAGAAAGTAACTCAGCCACATGATTGAATCTCCATAGTGGGCTGGAGGCAGAGCCTTCAAAGTTCCTGTTCAATTCAGCCAGGGCCTCTGGCAGAGGGTAGGGGGCAGCTACATATCACATGAATGCTTCTTTCAAGAGTCAAGGTTATGGACAGAGCCTATCACAGATACCTCCATCCCACTGAAAGGACACCTGAAAATGATTTTGTGTCTCTCTCACATCGATGTTTCTCTCTCTCCCCATTCCACTCTCTCTCTGAAAAGCAATGGGAAAAAATATCTCCAGGTAAGGATTAAAAAAAAGAAAAAAAGTTTCCCTGATGAAAGTAATACATGATTATAGAAAATAAAACTCAGTTATAACATCACCATCCAAAGAGAACCAGTTTTGGCATTTTGGTACAATTCCTTTTAGTCTTTTAAAAAAAGACACATGGTATGATACATAATTTAAAATTTAGACTATACAATACATATAGTTTTGCATCTTTGTTTTCCATTTAACATTGTAAATATTTGCTCTGATATAAAATATTCTTTGAAAAATAATATCTAGTGGCAGAATAACTCCTACTCTCTTTATTTAACAATTTGGTTAAATAATTATTTAACCTATGTAGGTAAGAGTCTGTTTACCAGATCTAGAGGCAGAACAAGTCCAAGTAGTTTCATTTCTGCCTTTCCCCTATTAACTGCCGGAAAGACTGTAAAGCACCACCAGGGGTCAGTGCAGGGCCACCTAGTATGCCTTGATGTAAGAAAACTGGTTACACAAGCATCCATGTTAACAAACCCTATCTATTAGAGGACTATTCCACGTGAGTAGGCAAATTCCCTTCCAGAGTGGGCTTCCTTAGTTAGAAATGATCATATTCACCCGGCCGGTGTGGCTAAGCTGTTGAGCATCGACCTAAGATCCAGGAGATTGCAGTTTGATTCCCAGTCAGGGCACCTGCCTGGGTTGCCGGCTCGATCCCCAGTGGGGGGCATGCAGGAGGAAGCCTATCAGTGACTCTCTCATCATGGATGTTTTTTGTTGTTTTTTTTAAAATATATCTTTATTGATTTCAGAGAGAGGAAAGGAGAGGGAGAGAGAGAGAGATAGAAACATCAATGATGAGAGAGTCATTGATCAAGCCTGCAACTGGGGATGTGCCCTGACCAGGAATCTAACCCCGATTGCCTGGATCCTAGGTCGACGCTCAACCAGAGCCACACCCAGCCGGGAACATCATGGATGTTTCTATCTCCCTCTCTCCCTCTCCCTTCCTCTCTCTGAAATCAAGACATATTTAAAAAAAAGAAAAAAAGAAATGATCACACTCCTCCAAATTAACTTATATTCAACGTTTTAAAAAGCAGCTATTTTGTAAACTGAGGTCTACCAATACCAGATGTAGTATTAGACCTGTTTCTTACCTGCTTGGTATGAGATCATTTGTGCATACAATACTTGGCCTAACTATTTTCTAGATTTGTTGTGAAAATCAAATAAAATTGAAAGTATCTTACAAATTATGAAGTAGCATTTAAACTTTAAATTGCCCTATTTCAATGATGTGCTATTCAGATATTTGGATAAGTTATCTCCTGTAAACACTAAAGAATCCCAGGTAGGATCATGATTATGAAATGAAGTACAAGAGCATATACTTTGGCAGATCATGGATTATTTCATTGATTTTCCTCCCCCTAGCCTTCACTCTCCAGTTATTGAAGTCCATGGAATTAGTAGTCAGTTCTTTCTAGAAACTGAAGTTATCATCTGTAACTACCTCGGCTTAGCTCTTTTCCATCTTCATTTCCCTGAGACTTCTTCAGGAAAAGTACTGAGCTCAGAACTGGCTTGAACAACTTATACGTAGCTGAATGGCAAGGATCAAAAAGCCACTCCAGGGCCGACATGCCTGATGCGCTTCAGCACAGGTGGGAGACGCTCCTGGTCTCTCCAAACCCAGAGGTGACTCTTAGGAGCCAAAGGTACCAAGGGCCCTGTTTCCCACCTGGACAGGCTTCTGACTCAGCCTTCGCTCTTCCCTGTTCTCATATCCCCTCCAGTTCCCAGAACCAATCATCTGTCTGGCATTAGGGATGAAGAGGAGCTGGGGTTGGGCATTCTGGGGACCAAGCAGATTTCAAAACCAGCTTGGTACGGCCTTTTCTGAGAGTAGCCTCATCTAATGACCAGTCCACTGACAAATCTCAGAACACACAGGAGCCCAGGCAAAGCAGGGTCTGGGAGTCTCTTATCGTTGGTACTTAAGTTCCTATTGGGCCAGAGCCTTAAGCTCCCTGGTAGAAGGGCACAGAGGCCACACGAAGAGAACAAGAATGTATGCACAGCAGCTTGTACTGCCCTAGGACAGCTCTAGAAGACAGCAGACCTGTGTCTTCCCCCTGAGGTCCTATGTCTTAGAGTAGGATCTAACACAGGGCACCAATTGAACAGCTAGTGCTTTTGATAAGTATAGTTCCTGGTGCATAGTAGGTGTTTGATAAATATCAGTTGCATGAATGAATGACAGGTTTAGGCCATTAGATCAGCATTAGAGCACAGAGTGCCTGGAGAGAGCTAAATTTCTATAGTCGATCAAAAAAATATAAACAACAGTCCTGGGATTGGAGTAGTCAGTGGAACTAGGCTTATAGACTTGAAAGGAAGTCAAGAGGATCCCAACAGCTGGACACAAGCCCAAGAATACTCGAGAGCCATACAACAACACTGCAGCAACCCAGATCACTGTTATTATTTAAGATCAGTTTCTAGTACATGGGCCCTCACAGCACCTCCCATCCCCAGAAGGGCCAACTTCCTGAGATCACAGTCTAACCAGCTGACTAGCCCCACTCTGCATCCAGGAGGGAGTGTGTGTGTGTGTGGGGGCGGGGGGGAGGTGGGTTCATCCAAAAGGGCTGAGACACCAGCAGAGCTGACAGAGGCCCCAGAGAAGTATGGGGATTCCTGTGTCCACAAAGCTGCAGGTCTTATGCCTTTGAACCTGCTAGGCCCCCAATGTGCTTCAGTCTTAGAGGGCACTGTAGAAGCCTGTGCTCCAGAACGAGCTGCCACTTGCTTAGGAAGGAGCTGGAGGGCACATATAGTCTGGTTACTCGATGTTGTCATAGACCTGGATCACGTCCTCATGGTTACCAAGCGCCTGGATGAGATGGGCGGCCTGCTGCAGGTCAGGGTCAGCCAGCTGCACCTTTGTGTTGGGGATGAACTCTAGTGTACAGGACACAGGACACAAGCCCAGGGAGTCCAGTTTCTTCCTCACTTGATGCAGTGAAGAGGCATCACAAATAAACTAGGGACAAAGCAAAGTCAGGAGACAAGGAGCTAGGAGATAACAGGACAAAGCTGGACAGAACATTACCTGAATAGAACTACTGTAATATATCATTGGGTTTAAGCTCTTCACTGGCAGAAATATAGTTTTTAATTGCTCTGAATCCTCACCATCCTCAGTAGAGTATTCACTTAATAAATGTTTGTGCAATATGTGAAATCTTTATCTCACCTGTACCCCAGGTGCAGGAAAGAAGAAACTGAGAGAAGCATACCTTACTGTGTCTATTAGGGCACTCTCGGAAGTCCACCAAGCACTAAGGCTTCATACTCACTTTAAAAATGTTTTTTTCCTCTTCATCTTCAGTTTCCTTGACATCCTCAGCTCCTGCTTCAATCGCCAGCTCCAGCGCACGCTCTAGGTTTACTTCTTTCTTCTCTCTGTCCTCCATTCCAACCACGATCACCCCCTTTTTGTCAAAGGAGTGGCGAGCTCCTTCGGCCATCATTCCCCTGATAGGAAAGGAAATGGGCCAGAACAAATACTTTCAGACACTCAGCCTCCACACAGCACTACACAGCACACTCTTTCCCATGTAGCCTCTGGAATATATACAGACGTGGTGCAGCTCTCTTCCTAAAGGAGAAAATGCAGCTACCACTAGGCCAGGGAATAATCCAAACATATCCCCCCCC